TATATATATATATTATGATTTATAAATGAATTGAAATTATGCATTTTTCATTGCTGCAGTTGTACGCATAGATATTCCGTACGAATTTCTCAGATATATCGACGTATCTGGTGAAACCTAAGAAGATATATTGTATATTAACATGTACGAGAGCATAGCTTTATTATCTTATGACATAGTCTTGACTTCGCAATTCAAGCTATTACACTGCATGCTATTGCGCATCGGGCTGATTAGTCCACCACCGGAGATTGCTCAACCCATTCGCTGTGATCTCGCGGAAGAAGCTGTTGATCTCACTATCCTTGTACCTCAGTGAGAAGTGGAACAGCATAAACTCTATATGACTATGCGTCTCTACATACTGCTTCAACTGCTGCCAGTGTATGTGCTGAGTATCCATGGCGTTCTGCAGCTCATCGTCGAACAAGAATGTGCACTCAATGAATATCACTGGGTATTCGAGAATACCCGGATTCATCTCGAATACACGTATACTCGTATCACAGACATACGCAAGCCGTTTCACCACCACCTCCTGAGTGATGCTGACACCGTCCTTTCTAAGCTGAGCTATAACCTTGCCATCTTTACCAAGATATTCCTGCTTGAGCTTCTGCTTCACTTCGCTCAGCCCATAACTCACTGTAGGTACTGCGTGGTCGCATTCAAACACCTGCATCTCTAAAAGAGTCTTCTTGATGGGCATGCGAATCACATCGCGTGCACTAACACCCTTGTATCTATACCAATCAATCTCATCAATCTCTTGCATCGCGTTCGCCTCAAACATGGCATGTATATAGTTCCTAATGTATTTCTCCGCTGCTTGCGGTCCATACACATCCGTTACTAGTCCACTTTCCGCATCGCCTATAAGAGTGAGTGGCAGGTTGGCAATGTGATCAATGTGTGCGTGTGTGACCAGTACAGTGTGCGGCGTGCTGAAGTGTTGCGGACCTGCGTCTAGCATCACATTCAATTCCGGGATGATAAAACCGGTACGGTATGCACTGCGCGAATACCCTTTGATGGTCCAGGGTGTGTTAGGGATAGACCATATCTTCTGCCAATGGGCTTTTCTGACGGCAAGCGCATCCATCTCTGACTCTGACTCAGCCGTGGGTGTTCATGTTCTATGCTAATGGATTGGTACAAATGCAGGCCTTGAATTGGTCTCGGGTTGTGTGATCGTCTACCTTGTGGAACTTGGAACGCAGCCAAGGTAAATCAGTAACTTTAAGTATACTATTTAACAGCACGGTGAATATTGCGTAGTCACAACCGTACTAAAACTCAATTGCATCAATTGAAACGAGGCTAAGCCTATAAAGGTATCTTTCTTATCTTTTCCGGATGTAAATATAGAGTCGATAGCAAGTATAGCAACACGCTCTAAGTGTATATTTAGAGTATGACTACTATGGCACTTCATGATTTAAAACCCCCCCCCCCAAAATTGCGCGACAAATATAAGTTTGCGTAGCACAAACCCTGAGTTTTAGGGTTTGTCGGAAGTATCAAATTCATAGCCCCCTGTTGAAAAAAAGAGATTCATGTCTATCAAGAAGGCGATGTTCATTGTTCAGGAGGCTACATATGATATGTCCCAAAGTCATATACATATAAGATTCAGATCTGCTCTATGTCGTAGGAGACTATATGTCAGATCCTGTGGATTGAGTCTCCTCGAAAACTATTCATCAACGTCTCCTAGGACCTAGAGGGATATATGTATTTATTGTAAAGTTATTTATATAAGCCCACAGCATTATTACGACAAATATATGTTCAATATAAAGATCGCTGGTTAGTTTATCACAACTGAGCGTGTACGTTTGCCCTATATTGTTCTATCAGATGATATAATTATAACCACAGTTGAAAGTATCTCTTACTACTACATTTTAGTTCGAAAATGCTCATTAAAACAAGTAGTTGACACGGGTCTTGAGGTTCATATATCTTTAAGCGTCCATGATAGAATTCCACTAGATGCAACGCCCTACTAGCCTTCCCCGGTTGCTGCTCAATTCGCATGTGCTGCTTGAACCTCCTGATATCATGATTATATCATACAGAAAATTGAACGAGTCAAAAATATTTAAAGAGCGTGATTTGTTTCAGCTCTGTTTTCCGGGTTGCCCTTTGTCTTCGGGGTTCCTGATGAAGCTCTTGTGAGGGTAGGCCCCTACATTGCCCCTACCCTTCTCCAACTTGGCACTCCTACTAAAGCCATATAACCCCGTACTACGACGCCAAATGCACCGCATGCGCCATGCCAGACATAGAGCATCTGTCTGTATCACTGAGAATTCTGCCACACCCTAGAGAGTCTAACTAAAGTATAAACACCCAATTGCCAGTGAGCTTCACGGAGCCCTAATAGATGTAGCTGCCGACGGGATGCACGCGCACTACCGGCCGCTCTGGACCATGGTTTGAAGGGTTAGCTAGGGTACTCCCACGGCTTTCATTGGCGGCTATAGCCAGGCGTGTACAAGGCTAGCTAATTGAAGTACAAAATGCAACGGACGACAAAAAGTATTCTAACGAGATGTGTCAGAGACGTCACGGGACGAGGCAGTATCAGTCAATGTACGATCTCATCGGAATGAGTCTGCTGCTGATATTATAGTCTCTCAGGCCAGCGTACATCATTATTAAATTTTATTGTCCACTTGCATGTCGTTTCTATGGAAACCACGAGTCCTAAAGACAATACGAAAAGTAAAGGCTGCGAGTATATAAATACAACGCTTCCAACTATTCTTTTATCGTTATATAATTTTCGCCCTAAATCTACACAGGTACAGATCCACGCAGAGATACCGTTCAAGGTGGAAGTCGCAAATGAACAGTGTCTGTCACCCCAACCGCTCTGTTTCCTGCAAGATGCACACGTGTAATACCGTGCGCAGATGCTGCTTTGTTTTGTACGCAAAGTCTACCAAGTCGAGCACTCTTTGGTTCAGTAAACTACATATACATACATACACACACACATATATATATATAATGTTCCTCATATGAACTATACGGTATCGAGTCCTAACTCGTATTCCAGTTCAAGTCAATTCCTAGACCTTCTTCTTCTGAGTGACTTCCTGTTTCGGCACGACAGCGTGTGATTTCTGTAGTTCCAATGGAATCGAAATGCATAAACCAGAATGAATACCCGTTAAACGTTAAAGCTGCAAGGCATACCAATGGAATTGAAATGCATAAATCAGAAAGTATACCCGTTAAATCTTGATAGCGCAAATCATACCAATGTAATCGAAACGCATAAACCAGAAAGAATGCACGTTAAATCTCAACGGCGAAAGAAAGATTAAACTACAAGGATGCCGTAAGCACGGATGCAAAACAACGATGTGCGTACACTAATGGCATACAACATATGTACAAACTTACAATACAGGGTTGCGAGCGCATCCATGCGAATGAACTATACAAGGATGCGTGTGCATTCTTATGTCAAGTAAGGTCCTACCACGTATCTGTATGCAATGAATACCAGATGTACTAGAGCGCATACCCAACATGTGTCACTCTGAACGAACGTATTTCTCTATGAAACATAAATCACCATAAACGAACCGTTTCGCCCCAATTGCGTGAGACATGTCTGTTTGGCGATAAACCTCAGCACACGCACATAAACACACCCGCGTGCGTTTAACGTTTAACGACACTGTAAGCTACAGGAAGGACAAATAGACGGCCCAGCACTCATACCGACTCGATAGTGAAGTCAGAGCGCAGGTAGATGATCAATAGCGAAAACAGGCAGAAATACGCAGCAATCAACACCAACGGCTGGCGGTAGATGGCGCCTGACGACAGGGAGTACTTGATCTGAGATGTGGTTGGTAGGAAGAAGGATAGGTGTCATGTGTTAAGTAGGAAGAAGGATAGGTGTTTTGTGTTTAGTAGGAAGAAGGATAGGTGTTCTGTGTTTAGTAGAGAGTGCTTGATCTGAGATGTGGTTGATAGGAAGAAGGATAGGTGTTCTGTGCTTAGTAGGAAGAAAGATAGGTGTTATGTGTTTAGTAGGAAGAGGGATTGGTGTTCTTTGTTTAGTAGGAAGAGGGATAGGTGTTCTTTGTTTAGTAGGAAGAAGGATAGGTGTTCTGTGTTTAGTAGAGAGTGCTTGATCTGAAATGTGGTGTCAGGGAGGAATGTGTTCTAGACATAAGCCCGTTGCAGCTGACTGAAGTACAAATATGAACATGCGCATCTCGTTTACGGACTCGCTCCTTATAGCACCTATCTAGACACGCACACGTTATGATAAGGCAACAAGCACACATGCACACCAAAATAGATGTATCTTAATACATAGGGAGATATAGAATACGTTGATAATTCATGTATCACATATTTTTCAAATTGTACAATTGGGTGCTGGACTAGTTCTGCGTACATGAACACACACACACACACAAGCATCAATAAGCGACATGCGTCCTATACATGAATGCATACACACATACACAAGTATTAATAAACGACATACGTCCCATATATGCATGCACATAAGCGTCCACACACTATACCTCAAAGTCAGCCTCGTGATCGTTGACAACATTGGCTTTGGTCAGAACCACAACCGGGCGACCCCCAACGTCCAAGTAGGTGTGCTTGACATCGAACGTCTGCTCGTCGAACCCAAACTTGTTCTTCACAGTGATATCGCTAGAGAGAAAGAGAGAGGCACATACACACATACACAGAGGGAAAGGTGCATAAGGTATATGTTAACATGCGTGGTCATGTGCGTTGGGGTGTGTAATGAATCCGTCTGAACTATTGCATAAGCTAGAATATGGGCCAAGCTCCTCAATCATACCAAAGCAACTATGTACACGAGATTACTGTAATACAAATCGACTTGAAAGCACGGCTATAGTACCATACTACCACTTAAACCAATTCGAAAGGACGGTTATAGTGCCATAATACCACAAAAATCAACTCGACAGCACGCCTATAGTACTATACTACCACTTAAACCAATTCGAAAGTACGGATATAGTACCATACTACCACTTAAATCAACTCGACAACACGCCTATAGTACCACACTACCACCCAGATCAATTCGAAAGCACGGTTATATTACCATACTACCACTTACGTCGCGCCTTCAGGCAGAGCGACGCGGAGTTCCAGGTCGTCTACGATCATGTTGTCATACACATGCGGCACCAATGGAACCTTGAACTGATAGTTTCCGTTGCCTGCGGGTAGATGAGAGTGAAGGATGAGTTGGTGAAGCGATTGAAACTGGAACGGGCACGTTTGAAAAAATCGGTAGCACTGAATGCCTTGTGTGAGACGATGCTTCGTGTTGTGACGCACAATGTTTCAAGAAACATGCGCCACACGCACGGCAACATTGCTGCTGGGTAGTCCATGGTCGTCAGACTGCAGCGTTGTGAATACGCGTGCACTCAGAACCGAAGTATAGATCCGGCGAAACTCATATATATATATATATATACAAACTTATTTTTTTTTGCGAAACACTGTATGGATGAGTAAACAAACAACCTCACACGTGCATATACACATAGTTACCATCTGAGGCCAGATGATTGGCGTTGTCCAACGTGTAGTTAAGCATGTATCCACTGGACCACCCTCCGAAGATCGGGAATCGCGGGATGAGTGTCAGTGTGTGCCCGCTCAAGCTTGACGAGACCGAACTGCGTTGGATATATTATGAACTTGAGTTATAACGTGCTCGTGGAGTGTGAATGTGCAGCTTGAAGCGGTGTAAGATACCGGTGACAATAGACCACTGACCAATAAAATAGCAAGATACCTATGGTACTACGTTTCGCGCGGCATCGGTAAGTGACTACTATCTTTAAGTAACGACATACATGCATATACACGTAAACAAGAAAACGACTGCTGTCCAGGAACTACAAATCTGAAGCATGCAAAGGTCTATCGTCCTATAGCTGTGGTTTTAATAGCAATGCGACACCCAGAACCATGGGCCTAACTTACATCGCAGGTTCGATCACAAGCACCAACGATGCCAACCCTTTCTATAAACGAACGATACTTTTACTCTACTTAGCAAATTTCGGCCGTATCCAAGACTGATATCTCGCAAAATGAAACTTCCACTCCGGTTGGAACTACTCAATGTATCAAGAAATAACACATCTCTCGTAAAATAAAAATAAAACTTCACCCAGGTATCAAACTATCCAATGTATTGAGAAATGATCTCTGTAACTCTCTCTACAGATACAACATTGCCCATTACACACCTGGTGGAGATGTTGCCGACCTCGTCTCTGTAGTCAAAGTCCCTGGCCTCTACAGGGAGATGGGTCTTCCATCCCTGAATCGCTGCAGGAGCCTGGTTACGAGCCCTCTGGAAATCCACACGGGAGAAATGCCCTTGTAGTTTAGCGCCATCGTGGTGTAAGCTGAGGATGTCATCGATTTTAACTCTCTGCCAATGAGATACAGAGATTTCGCGCACGAACTTCTTGGCCACTAGGAAGGGTGCGTTGTTCTTGACGATGACTGTGGTATAGCTAAAGAGATGGAGTGGTGTTGGAATGTCAGAGTACGACGGTAGAAACTCTACAAGGCAATTAAGCATACTATCAATGAAGAGCCTGTACAGACGGAAATGTCAAAGTACATCGCAATAAAGTGGTTCGAGAATGTGGCATTGAGAAGAGTTTGTTGTGATAATTTGAATTAATGCCAAGGCCGCAATCGTGTTGCTGTTTAGACTATATATCGATGCATCTGATTGCTGCTTCACACAAGGAAATTGTATTGGCGCCTAGATCTTTGGGATACTAGAAAAGCCCAACTTGGCAATCAAATTGATTTTACTTCTCGAATAACATTTTATATCGCCTATGCATACAATAAAGAATACATATTCGAGAGTGTTCGGTATCACCAAGTATACCAATGACTTATACACTTGCATGCCATATGCTGTACCGTAGATATACATACATACATACACGCACACACACATATATATAGAACACACACGCACACACACACATATATATATAAATGCATGTATGTATGTATATTTAAATATATGAATGTATGTATATAAATATGCATATATATATAAATATAGAATATAAAACACACACAAACACACACAGACACAGACACAGACACAGACACATATATATATACATAGTGAAAAATAAAATATGGACCTATAAACTGGCATAGCTATTACCGTTCGTTCTATACACCTAATTCATTTTTCAAAAACGAGAAAAGCTTACCTTGTTTCGAACATACTTGGGTATCAACAAACACAAGATTTGATTACCCGCAATATATGAAACAAACAAATATTTCTTACGCCGAGATAGATACGAAGAATAGTGCGTTTCTAGTTGTATCTCATTACACATACACACGCACAAACCAGTTACAGATTATGTCGAGAGCCCATGGACACGTCAGCTAATAGGAACAAATATAGTTCTAGCAAACGATTGAGAGAGGACAAATGAATTGATAAGTCAGGTGTAAATGAAATTACATATCCCCGATAATGAACAAGACTACATAAGTAAAGATGTGAGATGCGGGATTGTGATATATATATATAAGAATAAGAATAATAATATGCACACACACACTCACATATATATATATATATATATATTTGTATGTGTATTTATCCAAATATACACACATACATACATACACACACAAACACTCACACACACATACATACATACATACATATATATATTATACATACACGCACAAACACAAACACAAACACACATCACACACACACATACACACACACACATATATATATATATATAAATATATTAAATGCAGAGGCATTGTGAACACGCGCATAAAAGCACAGTCACGACTAGGTTCTCATACACTCACCTCATTTCAGCATCCGCTGAAATACTTTTGTAGGGACCGACAGTGAGTTCTGATTCCTTCTTGCCCTTGTGTGGCGAATCATTCACCGTAATAATCTTCTCACCCGACACCGTTACAGTCTGTGAATTGACCTCATACGGAGTACTGAAGTAGTTCTGGAAACTGTACTTCATATACTGATCCGCTTGTTGTGCGATCTCAGCAGGGAAAGCCAAGTAAGCGTGTGTGACCACCGTGCGGAGGGTAATAGTCGCCTCCTGTCCCGCAGAGATGGGGGTTTTAAGCTTGACCACTTTCGTGTCAGCACTGGGAGTACGGCTTGCATCCACCTCCGTGACATCTCTGAGTATCATGGCTGTCTTATCCATTACACATCTATGAAAGGCATACGATCCCTTTGTAGGTTCGGGGAAATGTACCTCGAAGTAGGTTGCCTCTGCATCTCCATTATTAATCACACGTATGGTGTGTACAGTCTTGACTAACTGTGAACGCAGGTCTATCTTAGTACTCACATCGGTTATAGCCAACTGTGCGTCTGCAAGTGTGCATGCAGGCAGTAGTATTAGCACAGCTAGACTCAGTACATGGCCCAACATCCCTATATACACTTACGTGTGACGTGTGTGTGAGTATACCAGCGCAACTTACGCTTTTTGGTTGCCTATCCCGTGTGTGTATATATAAAATATGCGTTTGCGTTTTTGTTTATTTTACTTTTCTTTTCACGCGAACTTATGAAAGAACGTTCGGTACTTTCCCGCGCAATGCACACAAAAGTGATGACATGTTCAGATCACCCGCAGTCACCGACTCACCACGGGCCCATGGCTCATACTTTCGTGCAATTACACTCTATATCATTTGTATGCTATCAATGTATTTTGTTTTAGTGGTATTCGTATATACATAGATATGTAGTAGTATATATACACATACATACACATACACACGCATCAATATAAATATGCATATGTATACGTGTACATAGTAGTGTGTTTTCATTGTCGAACCACACATAATTGTGCAACTAGTGTATGCCGCGGTAATGAGCAGGCGGACGTCAGAGAAGCCGATACATCATCTCAACAGTGGCTGTGTGTTATATCGCGTCAGTGATCATTAAAACTTAGCCTAATAACGGTGGTGCTATTTAACTACTCGATTTGATATGCATATAGCTGTAACTGGTGTTTACCTTCTCATACCTAGTTATTCTGGCTATAGGTACATGTGGATAAGCGCATTCAAACCGTTCTCGTCGACATCAGCGTCTTCGTGGGATTAAGGTGAATCGGCAGTAGGATTATTAGTTATAGTATACACGGCCAAAATGCGACGTTATATATCTTTGAGGAGATGCTCCATGATAAAAGGGTGCATGAAAACAGCTGGAAGCTATACGTACCCGAATAGTTGCAGCCCACCACTTACAATTGCACACTGTCCATCACAATCGAGCGCATTTGCACCGCTGCGACATGCACACACATCAGCACAGCGTACAAGACATGACACTCTGAAACATACGCACACAACACCACAGCATGTGACAGATAAAATACTTAATAGCTCATATAATACAGCCACACGTCAACCAAATTGGGAACAGAAACAAGTGCACACACAATCACAGTATGAATCAGATGCAGTACACACCGGCACACACACATCAGCAATACATCAATCAAAGCCAACAAAGGATCACACACACGCACACACCTCAACACGGCACAACACAGAGACGACAACGCGAACCCCACACACGAATCCACAGCGTAAAAGGACTGGGCAAGCAGATGTACCGTACATAGTAGATGCAGAGAAACTGAGCCTCAAGGCACGGCAGCTCAAGATAGAGTGGACGGAGAAGGAGAAGTTACAACAGAGCGGGACACTGATCAATCCGTTTGGAAAGGCACACAAACCACACAACAAGCTGACCCCGCCCAACTACGACCGCACACGCAGGCTGAAGAGCGGGGTGAATGACTGGTACAGTATCCAGATCGACAAGAAGGAACGTGTGCGGTGGCAACGGTGGAAGTATGAGCGTATGAAGGCGTGGAAGGAGAGGCGTATCCTGCAGGAGCCTGTGGTGAGGGTGCACTGGTGCGATATCAGCCAGGACATGTTCCGCGAACAGAATGTTCGGTACTTAGACGCCAGAGACGATGCGCGTGCGGTGCTGGAGCGCCAGCGAGAGGCGTTGGATAGACAATTGGCGGAGTTGGAGACGGAGCTACCTGTGGCTACGGATGATACAGAGGTGAGCACGTGTATGCATGGGGAGACTCACGAGAAGCACTGGCAAGCGGATATGCACACTGCAGTACGCATGCAGGACCCTTCCTCACATGCGCAAGTGGCTGTACATACTGAAACACCCGCAGGCAGGCAGGGAAGGGAGGATCAATTGACTACAGATACACCTACCAACACACACACCTCTACAGATACGCCTACCAGTACACACACACCTACATATACACCTACCAACACACACACACGTACAGATACGTCTACCAACACACACACACCTACATATACACCTACCAACACGCACACACCTACAGCGTACTATCAGCAAGGACAGCAGCCGAATGAATGGTGGCTGCAAGGGAGCTGGGATGACGGGTATGGTATTGCGAAGAGGCTGTCGCTCTACACAGCCCGAGAAACGGCCAAACAGTTGGGATCATATGCACCCGGGTTTGTCGATGCCAGCCGCAACAAGCAGCTAGAGATAGGGTTGGCGAGGTACAACGTCCAACAACAGACCATGCCCATGGTGCGACACCCGGGTAGTCGCAGGGCTGTGAGGAATGGAGGCACCGACACAGTACCGTTGACCATGCGGCTGCTGACGACGGAGAAGTACAGCCCCTACAGAAAGGCGGTGGTAGAGCAATACAAACACCAGGCCATCAATCCACGCGACATGTACAGCAACGATCTGGTGCACTCGTGCATTGTGCTGCTCACATCGACCAAGGGCCGCATGAATGACTCGACCGAGAAGCTGGTAGGTAAAGTGTGGGAGACTCTGGTCGACACCGCCGTGGGGCTCAGGCACCGGATGTCGCTGTATGAGCTAGCGGCGGTGACGACGTGTGCCAGTACGGCTGCGCACCCGTGTGATACGTTGCTGCGAGAGTGTGCGGTGCGGATCAACCGTATTGTGTACGGAAACGGACGGAATGATACCTACATGACATGCTGTCTGGATCCTTTGGTGGGTGTATCTGTACCTACGCCGAAGCATACTGCCAGTTCATTGGATGGTAGCATGGATGATAGTGAGCGAAGGGAGCGAGCGAATGCCACGAAGCCAGATCCGGGGGTGGACTATCACAGAGGAATTGCTGGAGGTGCTGAGGCAGATGACGATCACCACGAAGGCGAGGCGTTTGAAGGCATAGTAGACTTGCTAGATAGGGACTCAGCGCTGCTGACGATGACAGCATTTGCACGCAGTGGCTATAACTACCGTGAGGAGTACAGATACATCCTGCGCACGCTGGGCGATGTTCTTGAAGGTCTGGTGCGTACAGGAACAGCACGCAATCGGGAACAGGGTCTGTGGGAGTGTGTGCACACAGACACACGCGGGGTTCGGCCAAACCCCAAGGCAGCCACAGACGCTATCACTAGCATGGTGGATGTGATCAGTATCATGCGAACGTACCACGCCATGCGTATCTCGCACACGGGACTATTCAACGCCATAGGCGAGTTGGTGAGTGAGACACTGTACGATAGCAAGAACATTCTGTACCAACCCTCGCACGCCCACAGATACGCGGCTAAAAATAACTTGGTAGGAATGCACGGGTGGCTCAATGACGTGCCCCCTGTACCCGCACCTGTGGCTATGGGACCGCGGACACTCCCCCTACCCAACCACGAATTCTCGGTGTACTATTTGGACGATATGCTTAGAGCGGTGTCTATGCTGAGGATTGACCAGTTCACGCTGGCCCAATACGACAGCCCTGCCTCGTCTGCACCCGGACATACGCACCTCAACACACACGTGGACAGGGGCGCCTGTGCGCTCACACGCACCTTGCAAGACGCAGTGCTGCCCACTGTGTCGTACTACATACAATTAACGGGTGCACCCCAACGAGCACACACACATAAAATATACTCTCTGTCTCAATCGGTGGGGTCTCATGCTACCCCACCCAGCCACACAGCCACAGACGCAAGGTGGATAGCGCCGATTCTGTCGGTGTTGCACAGTCTGGCGCTGCTGAGTGTGCCCACGTCTGAGCACGTGACTGTGGATGAGGTTAGTAAGGATAGGGACGAGTATGGGGGTGTAGGGAATGGGGGTGGTAGGGTGGAGGTACGAGTAGATAGGCCTACAGGTGAGGAGGAAAAGGGGCTCAGAGAGGAGAAGCGTGTGCGTGCTTGGCAGAAGGTGTTTGCGCAGACGCTCGCAGAAGTGGCACCGCATATAGCGCAGTTGATGCCGCGCAAGCTACCGTTAGAAAACAAACTTCGGACCCACACCTTGTTCCAAATCATCAAGCACACACAGCGGAACGTGTACGATGATCTTCTGAGCACACATCGGGCCCTTCATGGGGTGCTGGATGAGTGTCGCATGGGGTTCTCGCGTATCTCTGACGATGCTACTATGGGCAACTTCCAGCAGAGTGTGACGGATATAGTGCGGCAGATGGTACAGAACTTCCCTGACCCAACCAACGCCCCGGATACCGACAATGAGGTGCCGAAACAGTCGCACACTCGCCTCAAGAACAATAGTGCCTTGGAGGTCGTGGTCGAGTTTTTAGACGCCCAAGCAGGTGTTGACTTAGACATAGCTCTACCGGCGTTGAAAATCGGCTTTGAGGTGAACGGGCGCACATCGCATTACGTTGACGATCTCACAAGTGCCGTGGCAGTGTATGAGTACAGCACTCTGCTGGGCAAAACCTGTGCCAAAGACTACCTACTGAAAAGCGCGGGCTGGCATGTGTGTAACATCAGTGACCAGGATTGGCCTAAGCAGTGGTGGGTGGAGGAAAACGTGCCGCCGGAAGACCGCCAAACCTATCTGGCGGCGAAGCAAGTATTTACGGACCAGTTGCGCGAGTTCGTAGCAGCGCATATGCAGGATAAATACAAGAGGTAGTTTGTAAGAGAACATAGTATTCAATTTTAGAAGAATTCAGACCGAGGCTTGTGCATGATATCTGGTATCATGTATATGTATGTGCATGGTATCTAGTATCATGTATATGTATGTGCGTGGTATCTAGTATCATGTATGTGTATGTGCACGGTATCTAGTATCATGTATATGTATGGCCAGAAGGCTTCCGATACCACATACAACGTATGTGTCTGATACTGCCTAGCAGAAGATAGTAACTGCGCATGAGAACAATGAACCCAGAAAGGTCCCGTTTAAAGCGCGTGTTCATCAAAGCCTTACATGGAGTTAAACGTATACCCTTTTAAATTCATCATTAATCTGCTTTTAAAATCCCAAAACCATAAACTCCAAACCTTATAACACGCCTAGATAAGTAGCAAGTGTATGAAGATGATAATGCGTAGAAGGTTTCGGCCACAATCTAGTGCCATGACACTTAGCTTAAATCAGTTAGTAACAGCGCTAGAGGATAAAGCAGGGCCTGGAATTTCACGTGCGATGTCTAGCCACGGTACACCCTAGGAGGTGATGAGCGTCGAGACTAGGTGGGTTGCTTAGCAACCAATGACGGTAAAATGTACCGAGGAAAGTTTATTTGGGAGTGAGATTAAAGAAGACTCTTGATTTCTTTGTGTATCTTCTGCGCCACTTTGTACGCGCGCATACATGCATGCTCAGCTGTAGCTGAGCTTTTCAGAGGTAGGAACAACACACCAAATCAACACCCTCAACAGCACCAAAACCCTCAGCTCGAGCTTTGCCTTCGAATAACAATGCACCGCATCAAGTGTACCTGAGAACTTCATTGTGAATCAGTTAGCGATGAACCCCATCTCAACGACCGCATGCGCTACCTGCTCAATGCTTTATTGATTGCCAAGTCGCGACTATCTAACACCGGCTGTAGTACGCACTCACCGCAAACGCCACCGTTCCTACGCCTCCCCCACAAGTTCGTACGCCCTGCTACAAGCACGCGGCATCTGCTACAACCCGTATGTATACTGCTATAAGTTTGGGGGTGTGTCTTGATTCCTAGCTAGCCTCTTAGCCATGCGCGGGTATGTGACAGACAGCACATCTCTGTGGCAGAACATCGGTCGCCCGGCCTCATCCGCAAACGACACAAACGGCCGTGCCGTGTCTGGTGTCGTGACCTGATGTAATAGTACAGACTATGGATTGAGTACAATGTGTGTGTTCACCTGTGCCAAAGTTTCTACGTACCTTGACTATACTCCGGCACTAGAGTTTGAGTGAAAATTGCACAGATACACTACGAATTCGAGAATATGAATAGAGCGGCTGAAAGCAAGCCTGTTAGTACCACGACGGACATTGTAACCTATAGACCTAGTGTGTTCGAGTCTTTAAACTAAGCCCTTTCGACGCTTGGCATACATAGCCAAACTTGCAAAGTGTGGCCAACTCACACTCTGTGGAGAGTACAAGAATATAGCGTCAAGCGGTAGTCGATTACGGTAGGTGCCTCTAGCTATGCATGCGCACCTTAGCCAGGCTCATAAGAGATTGCTCTGTGTGCCCTGGCCAGGCTAATAACAGTCGAGCCAACTATCTCACTCAGGCCTCTTGAGCGATTCTACCCCACAAGTCCCCTCTGGTGTCACACATGCGGTCCCTCTGCAAACGCCTAGAGCATCTGTACACCGTAAAGACCGTGCACATGGAATCATGCTCCTGAGCGCTACCCAAACTCCTACCTACCAACATTAACGTGAATGTACTCATGGATCGATTTATATACATGTGCGCATGTACTTATCGCCTTGCCATGCTACAGACCTATCTTATACCCTGCAGCTGTGGTACTCATCAGCTGTCTATTTGATGTTTAGAAGCAATTGAGCAGACACTTGTATCTCGGTTCTGTGTCTACCTTGCCCGACTCCAACGTCCAATCATCTTACGGCGACATGCACGCGTACTTGAGGACAGTATATAAATTAATTATATTACGAAAATACATACATACCTTAGATAATTCTATTTCATCAAATCGGGGCCGGCCTATAATATCCAACGTCTCAACAATAACATGGGACGGTTCTTTCACGGGCGCGCCTCTACAAATAGTAAAACAGTACAGCAGTTCAATTATTGACTTTTACTCTGCTTTCAAATACGAGACAAGTGATGCGACTAATGTATCATAATAATAATAATAATATATATATATATATATATATATATATATATATATACCCATTCACACACCATATATATATATATATATATATATATATTTCCCACACACACCCATATATATATATATATACATATATAGATATATGTAATGTGTGTATATTTGTATACATACATATATAT